GACGCGGTAATGCTTGCCGCGCGGCGGAAATTCGCGCGACAGCCAATCAATATGTCGTTTTTCCATAGGAGCTAGAAGGTTATTACGGAAAGCAGCATATTGATTGGCTGTCGCACGAATTTCCGCCGCGCGGCAAGCATTACCGCGTCTTGTGTGCAGGAGCCATAACAAGTTCACGTGAAAAGTTTCACGTTTCCACGTTTCGCCGAGTTACGTGATCACGAGTTCACGTGAAACTTTTCACTTTTCACGTTTCCGCCCTAGGAGAAAAGTTACATGATCGCTGCCCTGGGGTCGATTGTGTATCTCAAAACAGAGTGAAAATGGCCGCGTTCAGTAGAAAAAGCGCTCAGCGAGCAATCAACGATTATTGGTTCTTGCTATTAGATCCCTAAATCTAGACCAATTACATTGACAAATTACTCAACTGTTGTGCAACTGTTGAGTCTGCTGAATGCAGCCAATGACAAAAGTGAGCAAATTTACTAGACTATTTGTAACTTCATTGGTCAATGTCTAGTGAATTTGTTCACTTTTGTAATTTTCACTTCGTTTCGAGATACACAATCGACCCCCTGATGGAGCAAAAAGTAGCGGAACGGAACAGTAACGGAAAAAAACTAGATGAAAGGCAACCAATGAGAATGATTCCGCTATCGCTCCGTTCCGTTGCTTCGTCGCCGGGTTCCCCATGACAATGATTTTACGGAACGAAACGTACCAGCGGACTTGCTGTACATAACCTCTTATGGCTCCTGCACGCAGGATGCGATAATGCTTGCCGCGCGGCGGAAGTTCGAGCGACAGCCAATCAATATGCTGTTTTCCGTAATAATCTTCTAGCTCCTACGGAAAAACAACATATTGATTGGGTATCGCGCGGACTTCCGCCGCGCGACAGCCAATCAATATGCTGTTTTCCGTAATAATCTTCTAGCTCCTACGGAAAAACAACATATTGATTGGGTATCGCGCGGACTTCCGCCGCGCGACAGCCAATCAATATGCTGTTTTCCGTAATAATCTTCTAGCTCCTACGGAAAAACAACATATTGATTGGGTATCGCGCGGACTTCCGCCGCGCGACAGCCAATCAATATGCTGTTTTCCGTAATAATCTTCTAGCTCCTACGGAAAAACAACATATTGATTGGGTATCGCGCGGACTTCCGCCGCGCGGCAAACATTACCGCGTCCTGTGTGCAGGAGCCATTGGACAGCATAAGATCTCCTGAGGAAGTCCTGAAAACATTTCTTCATCCTCACGACGTTCTTAGGACGTCCTCAAGAGATCTTATGCTGTTTAATAGCTCCTGCACACAGGACGCGGTAATGCTTGCCGCGCGGCGGAAGTCCGCGCGACATCCAATCAATATGTTGTTTTTCCGTAAGAGCTAGAAGGTTATTACGGAAAGCAGCATATTGATTCGCTGTCGCACAAACTTCCGCCGTGCGGCAAGTGTTGCCGCGTCCTGTGGGCAGGAGCCATTAGAGTGCATTTAGATGAAGAAAGAAATAGCGGAACAAAACAATTATATCAATGATACATTTCAAACATTGAAAATTCAAACATTGTTCAAACATTGTTTCATTGATATATATAACTAAATATCAATAATATTTCTCAAACATTCGCTGACTTACCATAATAAAGTCTTTTCATTTTCTCCGTCGCGAAAAAGAATGAGTCCCAGATACACACATTGACAAACGGACACATCCAATCATATGTCGTTGTTTATAGAGTCTCTAGAATATCTCTAGGCATACGGCGTTGTGATTGGCTGTGTCCGTTTGTCAATGTACGCATCTGGGACGTTCCCACGAAAAACACGTTATAAACCGGACACACTTCATTATACTTCACAAATTTTCGATGTCGATAGGTTAGAATTTTTTCCGTTTTTGTTCCGTTCCGTAACAGTTCCGTACCATGTGAAACCCATCTATCAAACAACGGAACGTAATAAAAACGGGATTACTCTGATTGGCTGACTCCCACTATATCTCTTTTCCGTAACTGTTCCGTTCCGCTATTTCTTCCTCTATTTAAACGCACCCTTATTGAATTTCGTTCATTGCGCGCGCGCATGTCTAATGCTCAAAAGCCAGTGGATGCTTTCCAACTACGTACACTGTTAAACAAAACCAGTTTATTATCTTATAAAATATTTCGATCTGTGGTCTGTTTTTTTCAGCTGCACTACTGAACTGGTGCAATAAGTAAGAGTGAGAAAACATATACTTGTCTCATTTTAACTTATTGCACCAGTTCAGCAGTGCAGCTGAAAAGAACAGACCAACAATAGGCCTGTTCTTTGTAACTGCACTGCTGAACTGGTGTAATATATTGAAGTAAGTCAAATATACGTTTTCTTACTATAGCTTATTGCACTAGTTCAGGGCAGCGATTACGTAACTTTGAGCGGAACTTTTCACTTTTTAAGCTGATGGCACATAGAAAAACTTAAGCAGTAAAACGTAAGCAGCAAGCAAATTGACCAATCACAGTCATTGATTCTTCTTACGGTCCAAGAATCAACGACTGTGATTGGCTGATTCGCTTACTGCTTACGTCTTACTGCTTAAGTTTTTCTATGTGCCACCAGCTTTACTTTTCGCTCTATCGATTTCACGTAAACTTTTTCATTGTTCACGCAATCAAGTAAAGCCCGTATCAGACTACGGATTAAGATTGAGATTGAATTAAAAATTAGCCAATCAGAGCAAAATTCACTAAGCTCAAGTTTGGTGAACTTTGCTCTGATTGGCCAATTTTCAATTCAATCTCAATCTTAATCCGTAGTCTGATACGGGCTTAACTCTATGCGTGAAAAGCACAAATCACTAAACATGGTTCTTATATGATTTCAATATCGGCCAAATCAGCTATATCCATCGGCTGTAGAACATATTAACCTTAAAAACATTGGCCGCGTTCAGTAGAACAAGTGATCAGTAAGCGCTCAGTGAGCTCTTGCATCTGATTGGAGTATAGTTGGAGATCTAAAAGTATATGCCAAATCATATACAAGAGCTCCCTGAGCGCTTACTGATCACTTGTTCTACTGAACGCGGCCATTGGCTGCATTCAGCAGACTCAACAGTTGCACAACAGTTGAGTAATTTGTCAATGTAATTGGTCTAGATTTAGGGATCTAATAGCAAGAACCAATAATCGTTGATTGCTCACTAAGCGCTTTTTCTACTGAATGCGCCCATTGCTATAACCTTAGGATTGTTATGTTACATGTATCTCATCACAGCAGTAGCATAATATATTCCGCATTCATCATGTCACTAGATTTTCACTTTTCCGCCAGCACATTTCATGTTCATAACAAGTTCACGTGAAAAGTTTCACGTTTCCACGTTTCGCCGAGTTACGTGATTACGCGTTCACGTGAAACTTTTCACTTTTCACGTTTCCGCCCTAGGGGAAAAGTTACATGATCGCTGCCCAGCAATGCAACTACAAAGAACAAGCTTAATGTAACGTAGCTGGAAAATACCCATTAGATGCAAAAATATCAAAAGTGCTAGCGACGCGAACAAACCTCATATGTCATATTAGTACGTGTCGCGAGCTGTCATATGGGGTCGTGTAGACGTGTCCGTCGCCGTTGCAATCTGTTGACGCGACGAGCGTTGGGCCGAGTGTTACTGATCTTCGCGGCAGTCGGGATCCACGCGCGCACATGGTGAAGGCTGAGAAGATGCGATGCGAGCACGCAGACGGAATGTCCTAGGATCCGAAGTAGATCGCGAGTCTGTGACTACGAATACGGAAAACAGCTCGCGACCGCAACAACGGCTACATTGTCACGATGACGATGCGAGTAGCGAACTATTGAGCGGGATCGTCTCAGACAAAAAATCGCAAAATACTAGTACGACGACGACGACGATGACGATGACGTCCCGCGACAGGACTAACGAGTTCGTCAACGCGATTCGCTCAATGCAGAGCAGATCCGCTGCGCGGACCGCTGCCGTCGGTGCGACAATACAGAATCCTCGCCGCGCGCGCCAGTTACAAAGCTACTCGAATTTCATGATGACAGCCAAAAACATAGGCAAAAACATCGCCAGCACATATACCAAACTGGAAAAGCTTGCCCTATGTAAGAATCCAAACGTATCAGTCGCTTACAATAAGTTATATCAGACTGTGATGTAAAAGTATCAGATATAAAAGTAAACAGCTGATCTATATCTTTATTACAAAGAAATTTGTCTTGATTAACATTTTATTTCTTGCTCCTGGAGCCAACACTTTTTGTATAGAAGAACTAAATATAACAAAAAGATGCTAAAAATCTTTATATTATAAAAGTTGCAAGAAAGAATATATTAACTAGCATTATGTATTGTAGTGGCCAAAAAGAAGTCCATATTCAATGACAGACAAATGGAGATTGAAGAACTTACTAATATAATAAAAACAGACCTGAAAAGCTTGAATATTCAAATTGGAAAACTACAAGAGCTTGGAAAATCCCAGAAAGAAGGCTTTGGATATTCTCAAAGTCATCACATTGCTTCACATTCTTCTTCGATCGTGATGGCATTGCAATCAAAGCTAGCAAATATGTCTAATAATTTCAAAACTGTTTTAGAAGTTCGCTCTGAGGTATATTTTAAAATATATTTAAAGTATTTTTTGATTCTTTTACAAAGATTATCGTTATAAAATAATTTTTTTAGCACAATATTGATTAATTTATATTTTTCCAAATATGAGCAAGATATATAACCCATATTACACAATCATATATAGGTTATTGTATATATTTTTAATTCCTTTTATCAAGTTGCATTGTTATCAATGGAGAAACTAGAAAATTATACTGTGAAAAATTAGTAAAATAAAGAATACAGTCGAATCTTAATAATGAATAAATTATTGGACACAGAATATGAGAGAAGAGCAAAGCAGGAGACAGCAATTTACTCAAGGATCTCTATCGACTATGCTCCCTCCGAGTGTTGTTTCAGGAAGACAAGGTTCTCTGTTACTACAGGAAGAAACTAGTAATGCAGTCGCGATAAACTTGGAGCCAACAATAAATCATCAATTAATACAACAAGCTATACAAGATGATACTGTAAGTATCGACAATATACGCAAAGTAATTTAAAGCATAAAATAACAAATATATATATATATATATATATATATATATATATATATATATATATATATATATATGGTTTTTAAAGGATGCCTATGTCCAATCACGAGCTGAAACTATGCAGAACATAGAATCCACTATAGTCGAATTAGGTGGTATTTTCCAGCAATTAGCACATATGGTTCAAGAACAAGAAGAAATGGTCGAAAGGTAAAAAATATCTTTAATGTGAAAAGAACAGAGTTATTTGAAGAAAATGTTATAGTTATATATTGAGACTTCAGAGACGTAAAATTCTAATTGAAAAAAATATTGAATTACAGGATAGATAGCAATATAGAGGATACCGAATTGAATGTGGAAGCTGCACACACTGAAATTCTAAAGTACTTTCAGTCTGTGACGAACAATAGGTGGCTAATGATAAAGATATTTGCAGTTCTGATATTTTTCTTTGTATTTTTCGTAGTGTTCTTGGCATAACACTTGCGATAATTATTTATAATTATTTCTAATATCATTATTTTTTACCATCCATATCCACACTATTTGTGATAATAAGAAACAGTTGCGAAACAAAACAATTTTTACGAAGTTATGACACGAACGTGTAATGTAGGCTACACGAAAAGGATTCCGTGCATTCCTTATCCCTTTTCCCTATGAATTGTGAATATTGTAACTACTAATTAAATGCGGCATTACTTGTACATCGCGTCTTGCTGAAAATATAAAATGTATAAAAAGGAGATATTTCTATTAGATAAATGAGAATATATAATTTTTATGTTGAAGAAGGAGCAAACATGATTTTACAAATAATTTAAGCAAATAATGCTTTACAACGAATATAAGCACTCAAAATAAAAATAATGGTTGTCTTTTTTACCGTTCGCTTCGTTATATATATATATATATATATATATATATATATATATATATATATATATAT